TACTGTAACACCCCTCTTTACAGACGCCCAACTCGTTTCAAGTAGGGATTTCCTTGCAGTAGGCTCCAACCTTGAATCAGACATGTACATATGTAGTGAACCCACGTGCGCAAGCGTTACCATTGCCATGCAAGGTGAGACATACTTTTTCTGTTTTGTTTACGAGGTAGTCCTGATGGGTGTCCACATATTTCGCAATGCATCTTCGCCACCTGCACTTTTAGAGAAAGCGTCAATTGGAAAATGGAGTGATTTTGCGTAGGATGTGACACACATGGATTTGTGGCAGAGTTGAGCAGTTAACCAGGTTCCGCGAAGACACGAGAAAAAGTTTTAACTCAATATCGTACATTACTGAATTCTAGCAACCTATTACATACCAGAAAGACATACGCTCTTTACCTGTGCTGATCCACAAGTAGGCGCTGCTTTACAGAGTTCTGTGTACCACCTGTGACTCGTTTAAAAAAACGACATGTTGCAAGTTGAAGCAAATCATAAGCGGTGGGTGAAATTAAGGGAGAAAAAACGCTTTTGCATACACAACATTGAGGAGGCATTATACAGTATTCTCATTCACACCTGCACAAGGAATTGTTGCTTTCCAACTTTGGCGAGGTGAATAATTAATGGCATTGAGAGGCGATTGCTGCACCTGTGAAGTGATGATGCAGTTTTGGCACATCAACAAGGCTAAGACAACATAGCATAAGTTATGGAACGGCTAGGAGTACCCATGGAGCCTGGTGCATAAGACAGCATGATAAGGCTCTTTTGCATTGGCCTATGTGGAGCAAACCTACAAAAGGACATTTATTCACAATTACCCTCATGTGTTCTAGCTCCAAGCAACATCAAATTGACTGCGAAAGGTCACACGGCGGTGGACGTAAAATGGGATGCGCCGAGTGACAAGGAGCCCGTGGATGTGACTGTTGCATACGTTGCAGGATCAATGGAGAAAAACTGCACAGCTAAAGAAGGCAAGGAGTGTACGATTGACGGTCTCCTACCACGATTTCCCTACAAAGTGTGCGTTCGGGCCTGTCACCCACATATGGCAGCCGTAACAGCTGTATCATCCTCCTCCGCAGAGGCTCACCTCGTGTCAAGTGGTGATCTCCTTGAGTTCGTCACCAATGCCAAAACAAGCCCTTACACTTGCAGCAATGCCGTCTGCAACAGTGTGACCATTCCCATGCAAGGTGAGATATGTTGACTTATTTTACTATACACGAAGCAAGTCTGGTAGATGGCCTGTGATATCGCACAGCCCCCGTAGCAGTAGCACTTTGATGGATGGCACAGATCAAAGAAATGTGTGAATATTGCATAGGATATTAGACACACGAATTTGTCGGTCTAAAGTCGTTGCAGTAGTGGGTGGACTTGTACATATAGTTACCAAATACACTCCGCAAAGGTGTTAATGCTTGCAGCTTCCCTTTCAGTCAAATATCCTTTACTTTAATGTGTCTAGCAAGTGTTGTTGGGATTTTCCTCTCATGCTTCGTATTTCTTTATTGTCTTTTCACTGACACTTGTAGATAGAGTGTAAGCGTGTGTCATCAAGTAGCAGTAGATATCTGACACTCCGTTTGACGCTCACAGTTTGTGCAGACCCGTGTCTCGCAATGCAATCACCTACCCACCTAGTGTCGGGTACTCCTTCTCTGTCAGTCCGCATGCCAGTTGTCCAGCTACGGATTTTTTTTGAATACAAAATATGACCGAGTAACTATGAATTGAGTTGATTTAATTCCAAAAATCATTTGGAGACGGCAAATTTGATATGTATAATACTGACAACAGGATGGCCTATGCTTAGTAAAGAATGTTGTTTAGGCTTTCGTGCATCATTGAAGCGCCACCTTGCCTTAGTTTACTAAAAATGAACATAAAATAAATGCTGAGTGGTATTTCGTAATGCCACAATGGAAATGTTACAAGTTTGCAGTTTGGCAAAAATGAAGATGTCATGTGACACAGCAAAACGTCTATAATGTAGGTGTATCTCAAATCATTGAAAGACCATTATTGGTGATTATAGCTAGCATGTGGGTAAATTTTGAAATGTTTTGGACCCCATTTTCATAACAGTTGGCAGCAAGTTTTTTACACAAAAAGGCTTCTTTAGGGGCGCATCTTACCCACTGTGGGTTTTTTTCAAATTTCATATCTCCTGCAAAGCGACAAAGGAGAGGGATGAGAGTTGTATGCCAACTGTGTGAGGCTTAGCAGCAGACAATAGTGGGACTACACTGGATTTGGTGATGTTGATGTTTTGTCACAGTAAATGCCCTGCCTACTCTGCATAGGCAGTGTTACTGATAGGAATGGCTTTTAGAACACCGCGACCCTGCTGATTGACACAAAATAACCTACCGATCCTTTATGAGCTTGAGTGTTGTATACAGGGAAAATGGTTTTTGCAAATCTTTTTTTGCATTTAAGTACCAAACAAAATCAACGTCACTGCATTGAATCAAACCGCAGTGAATGTGAAATGGGATTCACCGAGTGATAGGGACCAAATGGATGTATTTTTTGCATATACAAAAGGAGCTGAAGGAAAATACTGTTGGCGAGATAAAGGTGGCCTCACCTGCACGTTTGAAGGTCTTGCACCCTCCACAACCTATGAATTCTGCGTTAAATGCTGCCACGTACATTCGTCTACTCCTGCCTACTTTCCAGCCCCACCATCGGCATCTCTCTATTCAATAGACACTTCATTATTCGCATTTGAAGATTCAATAGCGCCCAAATCAGGTCTCAATTTTAGAGCATTCTATTTGCGGTCCTTCCTTGTGTCAAATCGTAATAACTTTGCCCCTGGGTAAGAAATTTCTACTCATCTTCCTGCATACAATACATCCTTAGACAATGTTTACTAATATCATATTGCCTCTCGAAGACTTGCAGTCTGATAGACAATAAAAATGAAAGAATAAGTAATTTAGAATTTGGTATGGGACACAGGATTTTGCAATAAAGTTGGGCATTGCAAATAAAATGGAGCCCGCGTGGACTGTTCACCAATTCCATTGGAGTAACTGTCCAGTCTGCCTGCACAGGAGTGCGGAAATGAAGTTGATATAGGAGTAGGATGACGAGAAGAGGTAATTCCTTAAATGCACCCCTCAAGTGGTGGAGATACTCACAGCCTTCATTCTGATTTAGCTCAACTACATTGTATTACCTTTGCCGTTTACCACCCCTGTTTCATTTTCGCGCTTTGTATCTTTTCCTTATTCATTTCTCGACTGCGGTCCGAAACAGACGTTTATTGCATCTAAACTACTGTAACACCCCTCTTTACAGACGCCCAACTCGTTTCAAGTAGGGATTTCCTTGCAGTAGGCTCCAACCTTGAATCAGACATGTACATATGTAGTGAACCCACGTGCGCAAGCGTTACCATTGCCATGCAAGGTGAGACATACTTTTTCTGTTTTGTTTACGAGGTAGTCCTGATGGGTGTCCACATATTTCGCAATGCATCTTCGCCACCTGCACTTTTAGAGAAAGCGTCAATTGGAAAATGGAGTGATTTTGCGTAGGATGTGACACACATGGATTTGTGGCAGAGTTGAGCAGTTAACCAGGTTCCGCGAAGACACGAGAAAAAGTTTTAACTCAATATCGTACATTACTGAATTCTAGCAACCTATTACATACCAGAAAGACATACGCTCTTTACCTGTGCTGATCCACAAGTAGGCGCTGCTTTACAGAGTTCTGTGTACCACCTGTGACTCGTTTAAAAAAACGACATGTTGCAAGTTGAAGCAAATCATAAGCGGTGGGTGAAATTAAGGGAGAAAAAACGCTTTTGCATACACAACATTGAGGAGGCATTATACAGTATTCTCATTCACACCTGCACAAGGAATTGTTGCTTTCCAACTTTGGCGAGGTGAATAATTAATGGCATTGAGAGGCGATTGCTGCACCTGTGAAGTGATGATGCAGTTTTGGCACATCAACAAGGCTAAGACAACATAGCATAAGTTATGGAACGGCTAGGAGTACCCATGGAGCCTGGTGCATAAGACAGCATGATAAGGCTCTTTTGCATTGGCCTATGTGGAGCAAACCTACAAAAGGACATTTATTCACAATTACCCTCATGTGTTCTAGCTCCAAGCAACATCAAATTGACTGCGAAAGGTCACACGGCGGTGGACGTAAAATGGGATGCGCCGAGTGACAAGGAGCCCGTGGATGTGACTGTTGCATACGTTGCAGGATCAATGGAGAAAAACTGCACAGCTAAAGAAGGCAAGGAGTGTACGATTGACGGTCTCCTACCACGATTTCCCTACAAAGTGTGCGTTCGGGCCTGTCACCCACATATGGCAGCCGTAACAGCTGTATCATCCTCCTCCGCAGAGGCTCACCTCGTGTCAAGTGGTGATCTCCTTGAGTTCGTCACCAATGCCAAAACAAGCCCTTACACTTGCAGCAATGCCGTCTGCAACAGTGTGACCATTCCCATGCAAGGTGAGATATGTTGACTTATTTTACTATACACGAAGCAAGTCTGGTAGATGGCCTGTGATATCGCACAGCCCCCGTAGCAGTAGCACTTTGATGGATGGCACAGATCAAAGAAATGTGTGAATATTGCATAGGATATTAGACACACGAATTTGTCGGTCTAAAGTCGTTGCAGTAGTGGGTGGACTTGTACATATAGTTACCAAATACACTCCGCAAAGGTGTTAATGCTTGCAGCTTCCCTTTCAGTCAAATATCCTTTACTTTAATGTGTCTAGCAAGTGTTGTTGGGATTTTCCTCTCATGCTTCGTATTTCTTTATTGTCTTTTCACTGACACTTGTAGATAGAGTGTAAGCGTGTGTCATCAAGTAGCAGTAGATATCTGACACTCCGTTTGACGCTCACAGTTTGTGCAGACCCGTGTCTCGCAATGCAATCACCTACCCACCTAGTGTCGGGTACTCCTTCTCTGTCAGTCCGCATGCCAGTTGTCCAGCTACGGATTTTTTTTGAATACAAAATATGACCGAGTAACTATGAATTGAGTTGATTTAATTCCAAAAATCATTTGGAGACGGCAAATTTGATATGTATAATACTGACAACAGGATGGCCTATGCTTAGTAAAGAATGTTGTTTAGGCTTTCGTGCATCATTGAAGCGCCACCTTGCCTTAGTTTACTAAAAATGAACATAAAATAAATGCTGAGTGGTATTTCGTAATGCCACAATGGAAATGTTACAAGTTTGCAGTTTGGCAAAAATGAAGATGTCATGTGACACAGCAAAACGTCTATAATGTAGGTGTATCTCAAATCATTGAAAGACCATTATTGGTGATTATAGCTAGCATGTGGGTAAATTTTGAAATGTTTTGGACCCCATTTTCATAACAGTTGGCAGCAAGTTTTTTACACAAAAAGGCTTCTTTAGGGGCGCATCTTACCCACTGTGGGTTTTTTTCAAATTTCATATCTCCTGCAAAGCGACAAAGGAGAGGGATGAGAGTTGTATGCCAACTGTGTGAGGCTTAGCAGCAGACAATAGTGGGACTACACTGGATTTGGTGATGTTGATGTTTTGTCACAGTAAATGCCCTGCCTACTCTGCATAGGCAGTGTTACTGATAGGAATGGCTTTTAGAACACCGCGACCCTGCTGATTGACACAAAATAACCTACCGATCCTTTATGAGCTTGAGTGTTGTATACAGGGAAAATGGTTTTTGCAAATCTTTTTTTGCATTTAAGTACCAAACAAAATCAACGTCACTGCATTGAATCAAACCGCAGTGAATGTGAAATGGGATTCACCGAGTGATAGGGACCAAATGGATGTATTTTTTGCATATACAAAAGGAGCTGAAGGAAAATACTGTTGGCGAGATAAAGGTGGCCTCACCTGCACGTTTGAAGGTCTTGCACCCTCCACAACCTATGAATTCTGCGTTAAATGCTGCCACGTACATTCGTCTACTCCTGCCTACTTTCCAGCCCCACCATCGGCATCTCTCTATTCAATAGACACTTCATTATTCGCATTTGAAGATTCAATAGCGCCCAAATCAGGTCTCAATTTTAGAGCATTCTATTTGCGGTCCTTCCTTGTGTCAAATCGTAATAACTTTGCCCCTGGGTAAGAAATTTCTACTCATCTTCCTGCATACAATACATCCTTAGACAATGTTTACTAATATCATATTGCCTCTCGAAGACTTGCAGTCTGATAGACAATAAAAATGAAAGAATAAGTAATTTAGAATTTGGTATGGGACACAGGATTTTGCAATAAAGTTGGGCATTGCAAATAAAATGGAGCCCGCGTGGACTGTTCACCAATTCCATTGGAGTAACTGTCCAGTCTGCCTGCACAGGAGTGCGGAAATGAAGTTGATATAGGAGTAGGATGACGAGAAGAGGTAATTCCTTAAATGCACCCCTCAAGTGGTGGAGATACTCACAGCCTTCATTCTGATTTAGCTCAACTACATTGTATTACCTTTGCCGTTTACCACCCCTGTTTCATTTTCGCGCTTTGTATCTTTTCCTTATTCATTTCTCGACTGCGGTCCGAAACAGACGTTTATTGCATCTAAACAGAGATTTAGAAGTTGACCATTTGTAGCACCTAGTATAGCTCCTCATCACTCATTTCCGTAAACGCTATCTTCTGAATTTCAGACTACTTTACACACTGCATTTTCGTCTTTTTAGTTGCTGATAATCTG